CCGGTGAGGAGCCGTTACGGCCGCCCAACGGTTGCGCATTTCTGCAGCGGGGAGGGTGGGGGGAAGGGCGGTTGTCACCGGCGCAGGCAGGTGACCGGGAGAGAGAAAGGGCGAGAGTGGCCTCGTGATGCCCGTGTGCGAGGCGGCAGCAGCGCCCGGCGGGGGTTCCCTCTCCTGCGGGCGCGCTCGTTCGGTGGCGGCGCCAGAAGAGCGCGCCGGGGCCGCGCGCCCCGGAGCGGGCCCTTGTCGCTCGCGGGGCCGGCGTCCTTGCGCTCCTGTTAGTAACGCAGCGCCCCGGGGCGTGCGGCGGCGGGCAGGGCTGCCCGAGGGAGCCTTGCCTTTCGTGTTGCCCTTCCTACACTATATAGATCACATGGGAATTGTGCAGGCATATGGCAACAAATCCGGCGGAATGCAAAAACTTAATCTTGTAATATACATTATCCTACTCAATATAGGCTCCTTCCACCAGATATAACTTTTCCAGGCATAATTTTATGCACTGCCAAGTAAAATCTGCCTTCATTGTGGTTTAGATTTTCTCTTTTGTAACCGGTGTGCCCTGTTCTGACACCTTCGTGTGTTCAGCATAATGAATTTTATTCGTGTTGCATCAACGCATTAGCTGACTTTTCCAAATAGCTAAATCTGATACTGTCAGGGAAATTCCTCAGAAACTTTATGAGATCTTTGAACCAGAATGTGATAGAAGATATGAAGTGTCCCAGCTCCCAGTATTAAAAAAAAATTGTTTTAAAAACAGTTTCCCTGTTTATCATTTTTTAGTACTTGGGGATTGCTCATACAGATCTTAAAAGCATTTGGATATAAAATGATTTGCATTTTAATAGATGTAAGCACATATGTCTGTAATTTGAAATGTACATTTCTAATTGTTAATTGCAACTAGTTTCAATATATTACTAGCTGAAACTTGATTCTATTGCTAAAGATACGTTAAATGCAGAAGCTGCCAGAGCTTTATAATGAAGCACTAAACCAAGCAAAGTTCCAGACCTAAAACAAGGAAATCCTGTAATAATGAGTATTGACACTTTGTGTTTGGTGATGGTAGCTTGCAAGACTTCTCATATTTTGCTCTGCTCTAGGTCAGATCAAGACATGACAAAAGTTTATATTTTCAAAAATAGGGGTTAGAAAAACTAAATATAGTTTGGGTTATATATTTAATGCTCATCCTAAAACTTCATTCATGGTACATGGTACTTGCTGTACTACTAACTTGAAAGTGTTAATGCTGAAACTTTTATCTTGCCCTTTTCTTCTTCTTTGGAAGGTTGGAATTCATACCAAGGCATGGTTTATTGCTGGGATATTTCTACTAATGACTATCCCCATTTCTCTCTGGGGAATACTACAGCACTTGGTTCATTACACTCAACCTGAATTACAGAAACCAATAATAAGGTAGCATTTTACATTTTACCTGTACTGTAGATGTTAAATTTAATTCAGGTTAAAATGCTTTTAATAATACTTGTTCTTTTATTATCGTAACAGGATTCTATGGATGGTGCCGATTTACAGCTTAGACAGTGTAAGTATTAGCAGATCTATAAAATGATTCTATCTTTGCTTTCTGGAGTGAGAAAAGGTGTCATCTTTTGTAGAAAGAACAGTGTGCTCCTGCTTATGGAGGACATCCAAAATAGTTTTAACGTTATTATGTTTTGTTTTAGAGATTATGGGATCAATTTTGTGATCCATCTTAACTGTACCTTGTTTGTTTTTGAATAACCCATATGGCAGATGTGTAAAGGGCATCAGGAGCCTTATTTTGGTCTTTCCTACTTCAGTAAGAGCTTAGTAAGAAACCTGTTGACTGGATTGATCCAAATGCAATCTCAAGGAAGTTGGTGCCTTACCTTTCTTGTGTTAGGCAAATTGCAACTGTTCTCTTAAAAATATGTGTACATGTATGTTTTTGGAAAGCTAAGATTTTGAGTAACTGGAAGTGGGCAAGAAAGCAACATTTTCCGTTTCCTATGGGAAATATGAACTACTTCAGGTTGAAATTGTAATTTTAAACATAGAATTATCCTTTGAAAGGAAAAAATCCTGACACTTGACCTGTAGCATTCAAGAGCATTTCTAACAGATCGTAAGAAAATCTTTTGCTGAACTCCTGTATTTTATGGCCTTTCTGTCATATATTGCATTTTTCTAGAGCGCATATTCTGAGCTGAACATACAGTTCTCCATTAGGATTCAAACATCGTATTTATTTTGTTTAGTTTATTAGATCCAGCATCGCATCTTCCACAAAGGTGTTGCAGCAGATGTCGTCTTAGCTGTGATGAGGATGTGAAGCACTTTCCTGTAGATCTGATGGGTAGATTGGAGGGGGCACCATGTCCCCTCTAGTGCAGTGGAGGGAAACATAATAAACTCAGACTCCCTGCCTTTAGTAAATAAAAAAGTAGCACAAGTTGCATGGGACAGTGCAACAGCAGTGTGATACTCTGAAATAAAACTTACCCAGAAAGTTCTGGCAACTGATCCATGATCACAATTTTACGAAACAAACAAAAAAAGTTTTCTATTTGAAACTTTTGCATAGAGTCATGATGGTTGATTTCCACTTTAAGGCTCATCTGCTGCTGTCTACTACAGCTTGCAAACATGCCGGAACAAATGTTTACATGTTGGATATAAGAAGAAATAGACTTTGTACCAAAGGAATAAAAATGTAGCTCAAAAATCTCCAGGGACATTGAATATGTTGGTTTGAGCAGATAGTTTTATTTTGTGGCTTCCTAGTTGGACTAGGTCATGTATAGGCAACCCGTATCCTTAGTGATTTTTAAAGGGCAACCTTGTATGGTCACAAGAACAGAGTGTTTCTTTTGCTGCACTTCAAGCGTCCTTTCACTGGAGGGAGGTAGAGGCGCAATCTGAAGTGCTACTTGTATTTCTGCAAAAATTTAGTTGCTAGCTGTAGCACCGTGCACACATTACTAAAAAAATACTTGAAGTCCTGTAGCTCTTACCTAGATGTGTTACTTGGCTACACTAGCCAGCTAGTGTTGTCTTTGGAATCAGTTTTACTTTACTTGCTTCTAACTTTTTTGTTTTATCTGTGTTTTTACAGTGGATAGCTTTGAAATACCCCAACATTGCAATATATGTGGATACCTGTCGAGAGTGCTATGAAGCTTATGTCATCTATAACTTTATGGTTTTTCTTTCAAATTATCTGACCAACCGTTACCCAAACCTGGTATTAATAATAGAAGCCAAAGATCAGCAGAGACATCTGCCTCCTCTGTGTTGTTGTCCCTCATGGGCTATGGGAGAGTGAGTATATGATGTCTTTAAAATTTTAAGCTATGTTATAGCTATCATAGCTATTTTGTTGCTTGGCAAAGTCAGTTTATGGTTTGTAAGCATCTTGATATCATCTGTGAACACCTACTGTAAGTAGCTTTGAATGTGTTTTCACCTTACTGTGCTAGAAATCACTCTTAAGTTAATAACCAGAGTTGACTCAGATGGTGCTGAAGAACAGTTGCTTATCTTTTAAAAATATTCCTTGTCTTTTTCAAAAACATCCTTCTTGAATTTGCTTTCTTTCCTGTCCTAGAATGTTTCCTAAAAATGCAGATTCACTGATACTGTTTAGTCCATTGCTTTTCCTTCCACAGCTGAAGGAAGAAAATCCATACACCCATGAACTGTTTGTATTTCTGCATGTTTAATTTGATGGACAGTGTGTTTTCTTTCTTAAGGGATTTTAGATTTAAAATTTTATGACGTAAAAGAAAAACTCTGAATGTAAGTAATTCTGAAACCTCTTCAAAAACTGCAAATTTGAATTCTTGTCATTTTGACACAGGCTGATTTTTTCCATGGCTGAAAGAAAAGAATTGCTGAACATTTTCATTTATATATCTATATAATCTAAGTCTATTCCACTGTGTGCATATGCGCTATATACTTTGAAATAAAAATCTAATTTCATTTAACTGCTGAGGACATGAAACTTCCCTAAGTGAATTTTCTTTAAATTCTAATACATTGAATTTTGTTTCTCTTACAGAGTTCTGTTGTTTAGATGTAAACTGGGTGTTTTGCAGTACACTGTTGTCAGACCATTTACTACCATTATTGCTTTGTAAGTATGCTCATAAATAATTAAGATGAGTCTTCAGGATGTAATTCTGAGTAACAGTGGAAAAAAATTTCATGTCCTTTGTATTGAATGGATGCAGTTGAAAAGAGCACTTGCTTTGTTGTGTTGTATTTGAAGCAGGTCTGAGCAATTTGCATCTGCCTGTGATTTCTTTATGGTTTCTGTATAGCAATTGACTGTTTGCAGAATTGGAATAATAAATATTTAATGCCTGCTGCTGAAACAAGTGGGGGAGGATGTAAAATAGTGTTTATGTAGGAAAGATATTTTTATAGTACTGATCTTTTTCTTCATTTTTCTTCTTGTCTCTTTTCCTTTTGGTTTTAGCATTTTGGGATTTTTAAAGACATGTTTCACATTAACTATTTACATTTATTAAGATTTTCATGTGTTAGGATTTACTGTATGCTTTTGTGTAGACCCATCTAATCTACCATAGAGGTAAAGGAATAGCAGCCAATTATGCATGTTGGTGCTGTGGTGTGTGAGCCTTTTATAAACTTTGCATTGGTAGTTATTAACTGTTAAATTTTATGGCACTGTGAAAATTTACCATTCTTAAGAAATATTGATAACAGATTAACCAAAATAAAATTATGTTTAATTGCTCAATTAATTCAATATAGGATATGTTAGCCATGTATCTTTGCTCTCATTTTCTGTGCTAGAAATCAAATTAACGTACCTACATATGTAATGAAATTAAAACACTGTTTCCTCTGTGGAAAATGCATAAACTTGCCATCCTATATACTATATGTTGAAGACTGTAGTTCCTACACAGATTCCCAATGCTGATATTTGAGTACCAAAAGAGATTTTGAATTCTAACAGCTGATCAGTGTTGATCATTTACTACATAGTGATTAATTCTAAAATACTTTCAGAATTTGTGAGCTGGTGGGAGTATATGATGAAGGAAACTTCAGCTTCAACAATGCTTGGACTTACTTGGTTATACTTAACAACATGTCACAGCTAGTGAGTATCAAGTGCCTCTTCCTGCTCTTTTAAATAATTGTAGTAATAGTATTACATGAATGTTTTCTTGCATGAACTATTGAGACTAATTGTGTTAATTTTGGGAAGTTCCTATGAGTAGTAGACTTCTGGTTTTATCTGTTGAATTCCATGCATGTATCTAACTGCAGTACCAGAATGCAGTAGGAAAATGGGTAATACTGTGTTGCTTTTACTATTAAGTGGCAAAAAACATGTCTCACCTCTGTACCCTGAGCTGTCCAATGAGGGAATGGTCAGGGATGAGAGTTGTGAGCTTCCCCCCCCGGAAGAACAAGCGACTTCCCTTGCCCTCTTGGCCTCCTCTCAATCACACACAGTGGCTCATCAGGGGTTTCATTAAAAAATATGGTGTCAGGAAGCTAGTGGTAGTAAGGTTGACAGCAAGAGCCTGAGAAATGGAAACGGTGCCTTATGCACAGAGCTTCTACCCCGTCTTGCACTTTTCCTTTGGTAGGACAGGACTGCGTAATAACTAGCTTTTGTTTGTTTGCTTTTTCCTGTATTTTAGGACAAAAACTCAGCTGAGGAATATCTAACAGTTTACCTTTTAAGTTGAAATTTATCTTAACAGATGTTGAATGTGTTATTCTAGAGCAAGAAAATTGTTCTGGTGTGGAAGTCTCTGATTGCAGAAGCCAAAAGGAGGCTGACTGAGCAGCCAGGTGATAGGGAGAATGTAAGATGTCAGCCCTGGAACTGAAAATAACGATTTGGAGACCAGGGATTGTGCTTGGTGGCTTAATGGGAAGGCCAAGGAATGATTCCTGTGCTTCATGAAGAGCATATTGCATATGTACCATTGCAAGAAGAGAGAACATCCACTCTGGTTGCTTCCTTTTAGTATTTTAGTTCTCTAGGCTACAGCAGCCATGAAGTTCCATCTGAGAAAGCTGTTCTCAGATGAGAAGGGTGTTCTCCTGCCACTACTGTGTTCAGAAGGAGTCGTCATTGCTTCCTACTGTGACAGCAATTCCAGGCAAGGAATGTGTGAAAAGGGCAGTGAGGTATTAGTTTGATTGCTTGCCTCTGTGATAGGTAAACTTGTTGAGAGTTGAAGTGATGATTGCATTAATTGCCTATGCATTCATTGCATATTCATTTCTCATAAAGAGAAATATTCATTTGCCATAAAGAGAAAACCTTCTGGAAGTTCTCAACAGAAGCTTGAATGGGCATGTGCCTTGTGTGCCTTTTTCCCTGGAGAGTCACTTGGCGATGAAAACATTTCACAGTAGCGCCCTGTGCCTTGTTTCATTGTTTGGAGCGATGGCCTCAGCTGCTGTTTGACAGCCATGCATTTCAGAAATACAAGTCCAGGCAAAATAAAAATCTGGCTTTCAGATAGAAGGGCATAGATTTGTTAAATCTGAAACTTCATTTTTTTCCTAAAATAGGCAGCTCTTTAAGTTTTCATCATACAGTGATACATTTTGTATAATTGAAGAGATGCTGTAAAACAAGTTATCAAATACATAAGGATTTGAAAGTTTTTCTTCATTTTTTTTTCTCATTAGTTTGCTATGTATTGTCTAGTGCTGTTTTACAAAGTACTTCGTGAAGAACTGAACCCTATCCAGCCTGTTGGCAAGTTTCTTTGTGTGAAGATGGTAGTTTTTGTTTCTTTCTGGTAAGTGATTTAATTGTTCCTTTTTTGCTTTCTTGGATTGATATAAAAGAATCGAAAAAGATGCATGCGTGATGTGGTTAGATGCCTCAAAAATCTACCATATTTTTCAAGTGCTGTGAGGGGAAAAAGGATATTTCAGATATAAGTCAGGGTCTTAGATGTAGTAGTCTTGTTCACTTGAGATTATTTTGCTTGCTTAGCAATTTGAAGACTTTTCAAAATAAGATACTACCTGTATACTTTAAGCAGCACTCCCAATCAGCTGTGTTTGACTGTTTGGCTGTTACTATGCAGGCTGTGGTAATATTATGATAGGCAAGTTACTCCAATTACTGGGAAAACTGTTGACTTTTCTTTTGGTCTTTAGGACCATGAGTGAATGAATTCTTTCTTAGCCTAGTTTGTCTTGTATTGTTGCCCTTAAAATCTAAATACACACATGGTACAACCTGGGCCATTGTCTCTCAGTTGTGTTTGGGAGGCTTTTATGCAGCACTGAGTATTAACAGATAATCCTTGCAGGCAAGCGGTTCTCATTGCGCTGCTGGTGAAAGTGGGTGTTATTTCTGAGAAGCACACCTGGGAATGGCAAAGCGTGGAAGCTGTGGCTACAGGCCTACAGGTGGGAGCAGACAGTTACCTTTTAAGACTAATTACTCTATGCAAGATGCCTGGCTCATCTTCAGAACTCAGATATTGGCATATGTGATTAACACAGGCTAGATTACAACTGGGTTTGTTATAAATTGGATTAAGCATCAGTCACTCCACACATACTTCCTCTATATTCATGTGTTGCCTAGGAGGGATGGGGGAGGAGAAGCTTATCCTGGTTAAGTGTTTATTTTGGCTGTCCTTGTGATTCTTCACAAAGTAATTCATCATAGAGCTGCTGGAGTTTCACTTTTCCTGAGTCAATCTGCCAGGCAGGGACTGAGATGTATGTGTAAGTGGAGTACACACGGCTGCTGGAGGACTCCAAGAATATTGGAGCTCTAGGAATAAGTACCTGGAGCTGTTTTCCCAAGACAATCAATCTCTATCAGTCTTTCAATGTTAGAAGAGGCCTAGAAACACTTTTTTCTCGAGTTGTGACTGATTAAATATTAGTTGCCATCTTACTCCTTGTTACAGGATTTTATCATCTGTGTCGAGATGTTCCTCGCTGCTATTGCTCATCACTACAGTTTTTCCTATAAACCTTATGTCCAGGAAGCTGAAGAAGGGTCCTGCTTTGACTCCTTTCTTGCAATGTGGGATATTTCTGATCTAAGAGCAGATATATCAGAACAAGTTCGAAATGTTGGTGAGTAATAAAGATTTGTAGTGTATTTCTTGCTTCGTTTTATCCTTTTAGGCATAATTCTATTACCTTGATAATGGCAGCTGATTTTCATGGCATATCCAGTATTTTGTTTTTTTCCAGTAATCTTGTTAAAGGAAAAACATAATTCTTAATTTTACTTTTAAAAGATGACTCTCAGGCAAATTTGGGATATTTCTGGTAGAAGAGAAGGATTTTCTAATGAAAATACATCTCTGTTAATTTAAACTTAACAATTTCCATGTGAAACTTCTTAAAAACAAAGGATTTTTTTTTTTTTTTTTTTTTAATTCAGCATGTGTTTGATACTGTCTGTCTGCAAAAATTTCAGTAAACTGCTGCAAATATTGAAAGGCAGTTTTCATTTGGCTTAATTCTAGGAAGGACAGTTCTGGGCCAGCCAAGGAAAATGTTTTTTGCTGAGGACCATGAACAGAACGAGCATACAAGTTTACTGTCTTCGTCTACTCAAGATCCAATTTCTGATGCTTCTTCAATGCCATCTTCACCCATGGGTCATTACCAGGGGTTTGGACACACTGTGACGCCTCTCACAACCCCCACGACAGTCCCTGTGATTGATGGTATTTGTAGCACGGAGGAGGTGCCAGCCCTAGAGCCCAGCTCATCAGAGAGACCACTGGATAAAAGCTAAGTTCCCGTCTTTGCGTGTGTCCAGGAGTGTCCTGCACCCTTGCCACACAGGTCTTCTCACACAAACTACTGCCGGGGGAAGTTGTGAGTAGCTGGAAAGAGCTGTCACAAGAGCAAGAGGATACGGCTGTAACTGATGCATTAATTCTGAATTCAGAATGACGTGGCTGTGGTACCCCTCAGAACAAAACATGCACACTGTACATTTTGGTGCAAATTTGCAAATCACATCCTTAGACTGCAAATCTTTTACACACCTATATTGTATGAGAAGACAAGTATACTGAATTAAACTGATTTCTACTAATACAAAAGATATTTGGAAAAATACTTTGCTCTTCTACTACATGAAGTATTAGTTTTGGGCATAAATGAAATCTCAAAAACACTAAAGGATAAAACACTGGTTGTATTAGCTTCGACTGTCCTCTTATGATGGTAACTTCCATATCACAACAGGCAGTAGGGTAGGGAAGAAATACAGGAATTATTTTCTTCTTTCTCCCACCCAGCTAACTGCACCCCTTTCAGAAAGGTAATTATTACAGAATAGCAGTAAAGAATCTGGAAAAACAAAGTATTCCTGCCACATGTTGCTATAAAGGCCCCTGCCCAGCACATCAAGGCTTACAAGGCTGTTGTCTTTGGAGCTCGTTAATTTCCTACTAGTTCATTCAGGCAGGAAGATATGATTTGGATGCATACCTTCTGCTTGGCTTCTTTCTAAATGGAGAATAATGGTTACAGCCTTAAAGTTGGGGAAGAACTGAAGGATATCAAAATGGAAATAAAATCAAAAGTGACTTTTTCTTGTTTGGGGTTGCAATAAATTATTTACCATTAAGACTTTTTTTTTTTTTTTAAGCTGATAAAGCAGGCTGTCCTGCCACTGCCTTTGTAGCAATTTGTATTCATAAATTTGTGAATGTGTGGGTATTGTACTATGCTTCTGGTATAGCCTGAACTCGAATCTAGGAGTTGATATATATATTTTTTTTAATATTATTTTATTTTTTTGCCCCTTGTCTAGGGAGGAAGAGACATTTGCCCCCGTAGAGTTAAGTAGCTAGTCTAATACTAGAGTTACTAGCATTAGTTTTCAGACCAGTAAAAAGTACACTTGTATCAAATTGTTAGCTTTACCAAACTGAGAATGAGGGGTATTGGTTTTTTATCCCTTTAACAGACTTTAATTAGTATTGCATGTTTGCAATCTGACTTAAAATTAGCACACTGATGCTTTAAGTGAAACCTGCAATTTCTTTTTCAGCATTACTGCCATTTACAGAGTAAATGTTTAAGTTCCAAGTGTTACGGTGAACTCATCTTAAGTGCTTTTTGCAGTACTAGTGTGATGTAAATATTGCGCCTTACTCACTAGGCTGCATATTTTATGTATGTGCAGTATCTCAAGGTGGTGGGAAAATGCAAATCATACTTTTCAATTTGTTGAGTCATTGCCTTTGTAAATAAGTGAATAAAAAAATTATTTAAACTGTTCACCTACCTTCTCTGATTTACTGTAACAGTAATTCAAGTTGTGAATGACAGACATAAGGAAAATGGCTTTCTGGAGAAAGGAGATTAAAATCAGTACAAGTGCTTGTCTATTCTTTGGATATTTCAGGGCTGGTAGCAGAAAATGAAAGCTAACTGGAGCTTAGGAAGAAATAGCTTTTCATAGAATCATAGAATGCTTAAGGTTGGAAGGGACCTCTAGAGGTCATCTAGTCCAACCCCCCTGCACACACAGGGTCACCTAGAGCACGTGGCACAGGACTGTGTCCAAGTGGGTTTTGAAGATCTCCAGAGAAGGAGATTCCACAACCTCTCTGGGCAGCCTGTTCCAGGGCTCTGTCACCCTCA